GTGTAGATGTTCTGCCATCCCCGTTGTATAGTTGGGAAGCATTTTCTTGATATTGAGTAAATTGTTGGTGTGGTCATCGGGCATTTTTTACAATGATTTCATCCGTCTTGGCTGCCGTATAGACAAGACGCTTTGGACCGGCCATGGTGTACATAGATGAACTCGACTGAAGTGAGGCCCTGATAGAAGCTTTTCTAGATGAAAACACAATCCGTGTGTTTTTTGCTATGATTAGAAAGAGACGGACTTAGTTTTGCTAGGTTTGAAGAGATTCACGATTCAGACAATACTTACAGAATTTTTCGAATGATCCCCAAAACCGGTGGGTATCTGTTTGTCGTTTACAACTTCTTGATTGAATCCATGTATCAGTTTTATGTATGACATTCTCTCATTAGTTTGGTTTGTGAGTAAACAAAGTATTGACCCAAGTAATAAACCTTAAAAACGATCGGAAAAATGTCAACACTCAACAGTGATGCCGTTTTATATTATATTGTTTGTGTCAAACTTGTCAAAGCGTGTCTTTATATGCCGAAACATGTGCCATGCTGTGTTTCAGCACAGTGTGCAGAGTTGATAGCCCCTCATTTCTGAAATTTTGTTAATCAAATATCAATATACCCAGTTGACTCTACGACAAATAAAAAGGGAAACTTCTATTTCTTCCAACGAGAAATCAGAGCATCTGAACATCAGAAGTCCATTCAAAAGATTCGAAGTCCATTCGAAGCTAAAACAATAATAATTTATTTAGTGAAAAAGACGATTTGAGTTTGATGCTCAGATCGAATTCAAGCTGTTCAAAAGAAAGAAAAGATTATTATTCGGAATTAAAAAATATAAAAAAAAATCATAAAATATTTTCCCCTTATTTGAAAAGTCTGATAAGTCTGTATATTTTTCAAAAATCTGTAATCTGTATGTACAGATATCTGTATTAAAATATTGAAAAAAATCTGTATGATTACAGATAACTCTGTATATGTGGCATCACTGCTTCCAATGCCGAGTTAACCCAATGAGGTACAGAGAGAGGTGAAGCAGATCGTGAAATATTGTTGTATTAGTAAACCAAAAAATCAACGTAAACTCAAGTAGTGACGTCACTAATTGCTTGTATCGTACAGGGGCTTTACTCACACAACTTAACCGATTGCTTCACCTCGGTAATCCAGCTCATTGGAGTTAACCAACTGCGACCAAGGAGTAAATGTGGCAGTGCTGCCAGTGCCCGCAACAGCGGTTTTCAAAGTTTCGATGATTGCGACACACTTTACGAGTTTCCAAAAACATGCGACCAGCTAATGGCATTATCATTAGCAAATTGATATTTTTCCGCTCTCATATGCTCTTCATATCACGCTTAAGCAACGCAAAAATGATTCCGCTGTACCTTGGTTTTTACTTGGAAAGAGAAGCTATAACTTAGTTAATTATTACAACTTTGTCAGGTAACTTCTGCAAATATCTCCAAGCTTTTGTGAATATGTTTGGACTTTTCGATGCTCTTTGGACTTTCCAGGAATTATTCGTTCATCCCAGAAGTTTTATGACTAAAGTTCTATTAACTGCTCAAAGTTCTCTTAACTTTCCAGAAGTTCTCTGGATTTTTTTTGAAGTCCCCACAATTTTCTGAGGTTAATGAAACTTTCTTGAAGTTATTTGATCTTCCCAGAAGTACATGTTAATGGGATTTCCCATAAAAGCTTTAAACTTTCGGAAGTTTTCTTAACACGAAGCGATGTTCTGGAATCTTCCCTGACGTTCCCATTATTTTTCTGTTATTCTCGGAGCTTCTCTGTATTTCCCATAATTTTACTGGAATTCCCGGAACTTATGTAAAGCTCCTCAATAGTTTAGGAAGTCTCACCGACGATTTCTTGCTGGCAGCAACGATTGCAGTGTGTTTCTAAAAACTAAAACCCAGTTGGTAATTACCGGATTGTGTCCGATCAAATTGGCCACAGTGGACGTTGGTACGAGTTCCGTCTTATCGCGGCAGTTTCCCAGCAATGAAGTAATCGTGATCATCTCTGGAATCACGATGGACGTGCCGGTATTCCAGAAATCGGTCGGCATCCCGACCCATTTTCCCGCAGAACTTCCTCCAAAACCAATTCCCCTTTCCCCGAGAGCGGTGTGGACTGTGGGTAATTAGATCAACGATTATCATTTCCCGATCAGGCTCAGCGACTAGAAGCCACGAATTCAATCCAAATATGCTCAGTTAGGCGCACGGTTGGCCGCTTCAGTAGGTCAATGGGAAATGATTTTCCACGAAGTCAGATCCCGATTATTGAGAGGCTGCCGGCGGTGGCCAAAGTAAAAATGCTGGCCCCTCTACCCGGCGCTACCACGATCCCAAGGCAGATGATTAAGTGCCCTGGTACCGGGAGTAAGTAAGACATTACGATTATACATCTGTTTTTGCTCCGGTTCGGAATCGTGACTCGAAAATCTAGCGCCCCCTGCAGAAACTTGTCTCTTTGGATCGCAAATGATTGCGAAATACGCTGGCAACTTTTACGACCAGAAAGAGCCACCACAATAATGGTTTTGCTCGCGTAATTGACGAGTTGTAACTTGGATTCATAAACTTGAGCGCTTAGGAAACCGGACGACATCCGGTCAAGTTCTTGTGCCTTCCGCTCGGAGAAAACTAGTCCACCTAGTTTCGTACAACCAGTTACATTTACTGTGCTCTGCTCACATATATCACATCCTCTTTAGTTTTCATGCCGTTGTGTTGTGCGAGCAGCACATGACCGAAAGAAATCCGAGTCACGACAACTAGCGGAACTGTCCGCGATGTCAGGAGGTCGCTTGGCGGTCGGGAGCTCTGTTGGCTCTTGAATTATTCATTTATGGTAAAATTCTGCGCATGTAAGTCATGTTCTGCCGTCTCACCCCATTGCTTGCCGAGAAACCGGAATAGACGAATTTGTTCTCCACGCTTGCAAGTACCTAACTATTTTTTTTTGGTCGGGAAATTTGACACAATTTTCCAGTACAGTCTGGTGGCTCTAAAATGGGTCAGGTCAGTAGTGGCATCGCCATCTGTTGCCCGGTCTCTCGATGAAGACCCAACACGGTAAGAAATTATGCTGAAACCTTCCCGAGAAACCAATTAAAATCAATTCAATTCTGCAATCCGAAGACCTCTTTCCGAGAATCTACACCAGTTGAGTGAGCTTACCGCCGTCGTCCCCTGGAGGGATGTGTTTCAACAAAAGCGAAACCCAGCGAACAGAACGAGAAGATTGATAGCCCCATTTAGGAGACCACCACTTTTTGCTCTGCCAACAAGAATGGAACGCGCTGGAGACCGAGCCTGAAATGAGGAGCACGGAATGAATGATGTTCGAGCGTGAGGAGCGAGAAAGCGAAAGTGTTTTTGCTGATACGGCCGCCGACGACGCTGCCGCCGCGCCGCCCCGCCCCGCTGTCCCTCGGTGATGACTGATTTGAACTCGTAAGACGGTGAATTCGTGACTTGGATTCCAGCCATGAACGGCCAACCAGGTTGGGGTAATTTTTGAAACCTCAAAACGACCGGACAGCAGCGGCAAGGTCGTGAGATTATGAGGTAGCGTCTTTGACTGTAATCGGTATTAAGATCATATCATCATTAGGTCATAGTTTTCATATGATCCAGATTGTAATCTTTTTACTGGAGTCTGACAATTCATTACCATAAATATGTAACTCCGACAGCTAATTTTACGTTTTTGAAAACAATAGACTTCTCTGACGTTTGGGAAATGCACAAGTATTAGTACAGAACTGTGGAAAAATTATAAGAATTAGTGCAAGAAATCCTTTGAATTTACCCAAAGTACTGCACTAACACTTGTGCAATTCACAAACGTCAGAGAAGTCTATGCTGACGTTCCAACCACTTCACCTTGTACGATGTTCTGGGTGATGAAATGAGCCAGTAGAGTTTGAATGAGCCCCATAAAATCTACTTTTATTTACACACTACCTCATGTTAAATCAATGGATGAAAATCTTAATTTTTAGAGATTTCTTCGCTACCTCCCTATGGAAATCGACAGATAATTAACGAGGCCTAATAAAAACATTCACGACTTTAAGGCTCTGAACCATTTGGTGGATTATTTTAACTTTTGGTTCAAATTTGACAGATGGAAAGTTATCGATTAACCCTGCTATCCGAGCGTGGCTATTTCTGACAGACAAGAAGTTAAATGTTGACAACCGTGGTAGAGCTCTTCTCGAAAACCGGTCGATCGATAGCACCAAGGGGGGAGGTGGCTGTCAAATACGAACAATCGTCGCCTACCTCGCATAACTGGTTCCAAACGTAAACAAGCCATAAGAAACCTACAGCGTTTGTTTACGTTTGGAACCAGTTTCATACAAGATGATCAGTAGGCTGATTTGACAGCACGTCCCCCCAGGATAGCACAGGGATTTTCGAACATAGAATATAACTTTCGAAACGTCATTTTTAACCACGAGTTAAATTTAACTCGGTAAATGGTTCACAGCCTAAGCTGCATCTCCAACACATCTTAGGTTCTCCAAATCCAGCCCTGTATGATGTCCAAAGTAACTGTAAGGGTCGGTTGAACTTCTTAAAACTTCAATACATTCTGCAGGACATATTGCTGTAATGACCAAAACATTTAAGGTTCTCCAAATCATAAGGGAGTTTAGAGCATGTTGTACAGTTAAAACTTAGGGACGATCCATAAATGACGTAGCATTTTAAGGGGAAGAGGGAGAGAGACTGCTGGCACGAGAGAGGAAGGGGGCTAAAATTAGACAATAATATGCGTCATTTATGGATGGTCCCAGGATTATTCAATGACCTGATTAACTGGAACATCAGCCCGTCATGTGTGACGTTTCGGTATTCAACTTACACAGATTGTCATCAAACAATTTTCAAGAACCCGAGAAGATGCTTTGGAACAAACCCCAAGCCAACCTTCTTACATCACATTGAAACCCGCAGATCCCAACCTTACCTTTTATCTCCGTATCTCCTCGTCATTCTCGCTTTCCTTCCGTGTTAAAGACCTTTTGGAGGACGTCGAAAAACGCCTTCTTCGTCACTCTTGCAGCACGATTCACTACTATCACTACTAGGGAGCACAACCTGGAGGCCCCCTTCTTCTTCTTAATTACTAATCGTCACGTGATCCTTTCACTTGGCGGTACCACGCTGCCCTTTTCGACGATGACGTCACCATACCACTACTGCCCGCAACCGTTGTAGTTTCGCAACGCTTCGCTCGGACACCGCCGAGAACATTTCACGATTTCACTCTTGCACTGTGTAATTAATCGTTTGCGGGGGTTTCTTGTTTTTCACTACTTCCTTGTGTCGGACTTAACGTTTTTTTTTATTATTTTTTTCGGGGGGTAAATTTACATTACACTTCCACTCCTCGTCACAGTCGTCCAAACAGCAGGCCGTGATTATTTACCTCTCTGACATGCACACATGGTTAACCCATTTTCCGTGGCCTGCTATGTTTACCAGAGCCAAAGTGGTTGCCGTTGTCCTCCGTGGCCAGTTTGGTGGCGCTCAACGAAACCATGCTGCCGTTTGTTTACATATTTCGCAACCGATCTCGCTCTCGGTTTCTCGCTCGCCCAGGCAGCTGTCAAAATCTGCAAACAGAAACAAACGGAAAAACAATTAACCCGTGATTGTTTACCTCCAGAGGTCCATATATATGCGGGAACCACGCGGGTTCGCGGAGCAGATCTTATCTAGCGGGAAAACATTGCCGAGGTTGAAAATTGACTGATCGATCGATCGGTTCGAGGTTATGTTTATGCTAATCAGACGCCATCTCGCGGACAGATTTCCGAACTGGAGTCCTCGTCGCCGTCGGTGAGTCACATTCTGAGCCAGAACAACGAGTTCCCAGCAGCCTGCTGAGAAAACTCAATCTATGAACCGACGGAAAGTGAATGAACAAGTTCCAGTTTGACAGCTGACTGACGTGAGCCAGCACTGGCGCTGCTGGAAGTGCACACAAATTTTGCATTCTACAAAGTTGAAACGGTTTCGCAATCGCCTTGGTTTTAAAATTAATTATGACATTTCCGTGGTGAGACTGCGGCTAACCTCAAATCTGTAAAAATCGTCATCCCATGCTACAATGTTTCCACCTTGATGGCTCAATTTTCCCTCTGTTGGGTCGCCTAGTCGTGTCATAATGGGACACTGTTTAGCCATAAATTGATGGCAGAAAAAATAATCTTATGCTATCTCAGCAGGCACTGTCCAACCGCTGCTTGAGAGATAAACGTGCTCAACTACTGTGCGCGCAATTTCTTGAGAAAAGTACGTTGATTAAGTAATGTCAAACGATAGGATGGCGACCATATTGAGCAATCATCATCATCATCACCATCAGCACCGCCGTCGTCGTAGTCAAGATTGGCAACAAATGAGAATGTGTCGGAATTTATGGACTGCAGACGCAGTCGGTGTCGCCGTTTGTCACCACCAAACTGCAATGATGCCGCCGTCCGCCCCGCCACCTTCGTTCGTCAACGTTGTCACATGCGGAGAAGATGAGATAAGATTTTGAGCCAAATAAGGTCGTGCTATGAAGCGAAAGAAAAGCGGGAAGAAAATATTCAGGTGAAATGCCATCTTTGGTGCGGTTCTTGTGGAATGTTACGCGCAAGTTCGAATCCAATCGAGATGTGTAAGAGATGTGAGGCGATACAATGTAGGGAAAATTAGCGCGAGCGTGAAACGACGGCAGCTGTCAAACCGTCAAACTGTGAAGACCGGGTCGGGGTGCGGTCGGTCAGTGTGTGAAAGACTTGCAACAAAGTTGAACAAGTGAATGGAAGTGAAGTGTTTCTGTGTCAGTGATGGCTGAGTTTAGGAATTTGGAGTATCATAATGTTTCCTAAAGACTGGAAAAGCAGCTGCCGTTTTTACGTGCTACGGGATAGGACACGGAATGCTACAGAAATTACTTTCCTTTAGAATTTTATGACCCTGTACGCAGTACAGGTAAAGAAAACATCGATTACATTACTATCGTGATCGACATGAAGATAGCGCATCCCGAATGAAGTTTCACTTTCCTTACGGAATACGCCTTTTTAATAGAAACTAATCGTTCGATTTTACCTCTGGTGGTGAATACGAGAACGTCAAAAAGAGTGTTGTTAGCAGAAATTTTTGCCGTGAGACATAGGAAGCCAAAAACTTTTTCACTTTTCCTGATAAATTGATTCATCTGAGATGCTCGAAAACTTGATTTATAGTTGAAAAATTTAGTTCTGTATCATTTTTGCAAGGATTCTGCTAGTGTTCAGGAATATTTTTGTTGAGAAAAATGCAAAATTCCAATAGTGCCTTAGTGGTTATGCTCTTCCGGATTTCTTATGTGTGAATAGTTGAGGTGCAAATCAGTTCAGATGTGTGGAAAATCGTAAAATAAGACAATTACCGATGGCAACTGGCAAGATGATCAATGAAAAATACTCTAATTTGCGTTGTTAAAAATCTATACTAATACTCTAATTTGCGTTGTGAAAAAAACAAGCGGTTTGGTTGACGTTTCCTCTCGAACTCGCGTTGTGCCCTCCACGTTGGAGGTGTATTAAAAAGGCCTATAATGATCTGATCGATTGGTTTCTATAAGGGTATTGAGGTAAATGCATATTCGTAATCTGCATTATAAATGGAACCGAAATCCAAAATTTCTTAAATGTTGGTACACCGGAACTATTTTAGATAAGTGTGATTAAATTTGCAAAAATCACCATCCTTGCGCCCCTTGGTGGGACTTTGTATCGGAGTGAGCTGTTAGTTTATAAATTTAGTGTCAAACAGTGATGTTTTTTTTCTTTAAATCTTGTTTTAAAATTCGAGTTGAATGTCTATGGCTTCTCTCGGAGACCCTAGAGCGGCCGTTTTTGCATACTGAGCTTCAGATCATCAAGGGTACAATCAACAATCAATACGAAACTAACAATTTTAAATTGGCTCACTACTTGACTAGCCTATTGGTCCCAAGCAAACGATTAACGTACCCCATTCTAGTCGAAATTCTAGTACTACGCAATGTTTGTTTTGATTCTCTATGAAAGTTTGACAGATAAAATGAGGGGTTATTGGTTTTTCCTATGTTTCGAGGGGTGAATCGATTAGCTTGGGACCGAAGATAGTACCAGAGCTGAGCCAAAAAGTTGAGCACGTTGTTTCGGGACCTTCTAGTCTTAGAGTTACCTCTATGGTACAATCTTAGGCACCTTCGTTATCAAGAGGCGTTGCTTTTTTTCATAACACTTAAATTCAGCGAACTGTTTAACAAAACAAACTCTGCTTTTTGTGGAGTTTCGAGAGGGGACCCTCCCGAAAAAAAAAACTACAAGGGACAGCCCTATGGGGTTGTACACAATGGTGACGTAGGACTACGTGGTCTTATATAATAAATCTTATTTGTTAACTGCAACAGGAGCTTGTGTTTTGTGTAGGAATAGGAATTTGAGCGAGATTCTCTCTGTTTGTACACTTAAGTATGACGCGCTTGACATAAATGGCCACAGCTACTCACAAAGAGCTACTGACTCCAATCAATAGCGGTGCGGCTTCTTCCTCCTTCTATGGATGATCATGTGGGCTGCAGATCGCTGCTTGCAGGCAGACTTTCGTTGTGTACTGGAGAACACCACCACTTACCAGGTGGTGATTCAATAAACACTGTTTGGTGAGACCGGATGGAATTCAACTTTGAAATCTGTGTTAGGGCAATCGCTGTTCGCAGGCAATCAGTGATAATTTTAATTATCAAAGCAACAGTTGCACATTCGTGCAATTTGCAATAGTGACATTTTGAAAACTGATAAAGTTTTGAATTTAACAGATGCGTAGAAATATTTCTGATCGATTGGTGATAAAATTATTGAAATTAGTCGAGGGGCAGCTGACTTATTTACATTCAAAATCTTTCATAATTTTGTTACATGTTCCATTTTCACAAAGTGTACCCCCATAAAGAAATCACAGACGTAGTCCTACGTCAAAAGATAGGCCTCCAGAAGGGAGACCCTTATGCTGTTCTGAAGTAGGTTGGCTGTCGTCACTGTGGTGCCGGTCTGTTAGTTTGGTGGTGTCCTGTTTCGTTGCGTTCGTCGGGGGTTTTCTGGAGCGAATTCTCATTGCGATGACCGGTGTCTTGTGAGGTGGGCAGTTTGTTCGTTCTCGTGGTGTAATTGAGATGGTTCCGTGGAAGTCCGCGATTTGCCGTGGTCAAAAACTTTGGAGGTCAAGATCGAGTGGTGGTGGGGTATCGTTGAGGGGCGGCGGCGTTGTCTGGTTCGGTGAAGGTCAAATCCGGTGAAATCTGCCTGCCTCTCGGAGTAAGCTCAGTAGAGCGGCTGAGCGGAAGGAGTCGTCACTGAGTGCGTCCCGAATGCTACCGGGAATGTCGTACAGTTCTCTTGCTCCCTGGTACTGAGGGCAGTGGGAGACGAAATGCTCAACCGAATGATGGGTTCGGCATGCTGGACAGGGCTTATGGAAGTCACCATTTCCCAGAATTTTGTGAGAGAGATGTGTGTGTCCGGATCTCAGTGTGGAGAGAATGGTATGTCTCCCCCTTGAGTTTGTGCATGAATAGATCCAGGGAGTTTAGCCAGTTCCTGCTCCAGGCCTCCTAGATGACTCGGGAGACCCAACGTTTTAAGGTCGGGGCCAGGTGAACTGTTGTAGTAATTAACGGGTTCAGTCTCCATGAATTGTCCACTATTTGGGATGTTAATACGTAATTACTGGAAGGTACAGTCCCAATCCCATGAGGGAACAGGTCTCTAAAATAATGACTGCACTTGGTTAGGGTACTACGTGGAATGTAGTAATTCGTTCTTCATTACGGATCTACTGCGGTGGCCAATACACACTTTACGCTGAGTATGTAATTTGCAGTTTATCCCACTCCAACCGCACAGTATGCTTTTGCCTACTAAGCATAAACAACTATCGTCCGAGCTCGATTTGTTCGCTTGTTGCAAAACATAGGCGTAGTTAGGGTTGCATCCACCACACAGGGACATTGCGTGTATACAAGGATGTCAGTCTCCCTGACGAGGCGAGGTGGTCGGCTGCAACGTTGTCCTGGATTCCACAGTGACCAGCTATCCATGCGACGGTGGTGTCGGGTGGAGCGAATTGAAGAATGGCCTGGATCCACGGGTGTGTTGGGTATTCGGCGGAGGAAGGGCTTGGTTGGCAGTGCGGGCGAGGAAGCAGTTAGCCACCTCTATGAGGGCCACTCCTATACTTGATCCAGTTGTCTTCTCTAAAAAGCTGACGGCTCGGTGACAGACAGTCAGCACGATGAGTCCGTCAAAGGGAAGCACGCCACCCTCATCAAATGTGGTCAGGTCTGGGGTGGAAGGGAGTAAGCAGGAAGTGGTTCGGATGGAGTTAGTTTTTCAACGAGATTCGTTCGAGCCATGCAGGTAAGCTCGATCCCGTTAATGAGTCGTGAGTCGATGATCACCTTAGCGACTCGGATTCGGAGTTGCCGATTGCTGTCCAGACTGGCGATTGAGCGGATGAGATTGAGTCTTGTCCGACAGTGGACTTTGACATCGTCTAAGTGGGCTCTAAACGAGAGACCGCAGTTAACTCGTATTCCCAGTATTTTGAAAGTTTTGCGCTGCGGGATAATCTGGTGGTCGATGGTGATCGGTGTCGTTAGGGACCAATGGCTATGTACAAAGACACTATTTTCCACTGACAGTAGAAATCTGGCGTCGTTTGACCGACGGTGAAAATCCCCACTGGCAGGCTACTAAACACTCCGTTCATCTTTACTTGGAACAGGGTGACCTCTGGGGCACTCCCGTTTCCTCTTGGAAGGTGGTCGATCGGTGGTTTCCAATGACAACCTGGAAATTACGGTGGCGTAGAAAGTTCCCTAGTTGGCTAGTTGCTGGATAACCTCTGGCATCCAGACTCGGTTGTACCATAGACGTAAATCTAAGACCAGAAGGTGCCGAAGAAACGTTTTCAACTTTTTGGCTCAGCTCTGGTACTCTCTTTGATCCCAAGCTAATCGATGCACCCTTCGAAACATCGAAAAATCCACAAACCCCTCATTTTATCTGTCAAACTTTCATAGCGAATCAAAACAAACATAGTGTAGTACTGGAATTTCGACTAGAATGGGGTACGCTTATAGATTTACTTGGGACCAATAGGCTAGTCAAGATGTGAGCCAATTTTAAATCGTTAGTTTCCACTGGTTGGTTGTACGTCTCTTTGATATGTCCAGTGTTGCCAGCTTCATATATTGATTGTTTTCCGTGGCATCTTGGTGAGCTTGACCTAGTGTCCCAAAGTATGTGTTTGTCCCGTGTCCTGATCGGAAGGCGTGCTGTAGGTGGTCTAATAGGTTGCGGTCGTTGAAGAAGTTAGCAGCATGTGAGGGAAATCGGGCGGAAGTCCTCTGGTGATCCACTGAGACTCCCAACCTTTTTGATGGGTACGACCAAGCTTCTTATTCATGAGTTTAAGCAACTTGAGTCATGGGTAACTTCTTTCGAAGGAGATTGCCAACTTCATCTTGGCCGGCGGAACTCCCTTTAGCTCTGAAGAGGGCAAAGACGAGTCTCCTGAGGCTGAAAGGTTGGTTGATGGCAGAATCCATATAGTCGTCAAGGATGGTGATGTTCACGATGGAGTCGTTGTAATCCATTTTATGAAATGACAGGAGCCAGTTTGCTTGGCAGAATTTGATGATATTGATGTTGCTTCTTACAATCGTTAGATTACTGCTTTTTATCAAAGTTCATTCATAAATTGAAAAATCAGTTGATCTGAAACATTTCATAAAATACTCTATTGGCTCGAGCCAACTAAAACCAATACAAAAGAAAAAAAAAAGAAGTCGCTGTTTTCTTTCGCAAGCAATATTTAGTTTGTTTACTACGGTTTGCATGTTCACACATGTTCTCCAATAAAAAAAAACGTAAACGATCGATAGATTCCTGAAATGGTTTGGATGAAACCCGGAACATATTTATATGTTAGACTGATGCAAAATTTGAAATTTTCGCTCCACAGTACTCAAACGGTTCCAAATTGGGCCCTGATTAGCCTTCAGAAATTTGAACTCATTTAGTAAGAAACTGACTTGGCACAAACCATTTAAAGTTTATATGGGAATTACTATGGAGAAACCATAATTTCGGTTCATATCTATTTCAAAATCACCAGTTCACTCTACTTTAAAAAATGAGAGCTGAGCTTGTTGAAAATTTTCTCAGCTACAATTTTGTTCAAGACCACCACTTGCCATAAGATTATCAATCTCTTAAAAAATTAATAACTATTTAATTTGACGTTTGGCTGAAAAACAATTTTCGGCAAAGTTGTAGCTGATAAAAATTCCCATAAGAACAGCAATAGAATTTGTTAACAGTACAATATGTAAAAAGGCTAGAAGATAATGTCAGGTTCTTATCAAATGAGTTTAAACTTTCGAAGGCTAATCAAGACTTCATTTGAAACCGTTTGAACACTGTGGAGCGAAAATTTAAAATTTTACATCAGTCTAGTATATGTATATGTGGCATTACTGAGTACTAGTTGCGCGAATCCAGCCCCGTACGACACAAGCTTGATTTTGCCTTAAAATCAATGTCCTTTATATAAGGTCCGGGCCAACAGGCTTATTGGTGTTAGTGAAATGTGCAAATGTTTAGTGGTGTTCGTATTTCATTGCAATGTTAATCTTTTTACACGAAACAGCTGTTGGCAGTGACGTAAATCTCACAGTTCGCTGTATGAAATGTTATGGTAGAGGGACGTCGTCACTTCAGTGCTCAGCCATGTTTACAATATTTTTGCTTTTAACACCAGCCTGTTGGCCCGGACCTTATATAAACGTCATTGGCTTAACAGCGGGTTCTCGGGAGGGGTGAAAAATCATAATCACCGAAGAAGAAAAAATGCCGAAAAAGAAACGAAATTATCGGCTGTCACTACCGAGTGAAATGAAATTATGGCTTGAATAAAGTTCTCTTGCTATTTATTTTATCTTTTCATTCACTGTACGGGTGAACAGTGCCGTTTCTCTTCTCACATCAGCGATAATTTCGATCTCTGACTTTTATCCAACATTCCAGTGATTTCTCGTGAAAGTGCTAAGGATTTCTCGACTTCTAACATAGCGAGTAGCAAGTAAACAAATTCCTAACCATTCCATAATTCTCGCGTAGCATTTGAAAAGGGCCTATCCTCGTTGATCGATTCTCTTAATCGACTTTCTCTTTGGTTTACCACGGCATAATAAACGAGTTTCTCTCTAAGCTCGCAGCACAGTTCGTCAGAAGATGATGTTAGCTTACGCCTTAAAGAACATACTAAATGGGAAATTCATTTGCAGTCGGATTATTCGCGAAAGAGAATCGATCAACAATGATGGGCCCTTTTCTCGTGTTGCGCGAGAATTGTCCTGCATCAAGACTCGGTCGGCTCTGGAGTTACCTATTATAAAGTTTGAGATGACCAGTTTTTACACATTGCTTATCCCTTGCTTATCTGTTAATTACATGTGTAATTGCAGGTGATCCAGCAATATCGAAATGCAACCGTGGACGGTCAATCATACTCATGCTCATGCCAAATCCAAAAACAGACTCTAATCCCATGACGGATTCGGGTCTAATTCAACGATGAACTTTCTAAAGGACGTATCTGGTTCTGTAAACGTCATTTTGTCGAAGCTGTAAGCATGATGATGATGATGATGATTATAGTGGTCTACACTCATTGTAGCACGGAAACTAGTCCGATAACTGTGGGCTCTCCTCACTATTGAACTTGATCTAGCGTAATAACCTCTGATTGACATAAAAAAAATCGCTGTATGAAGGACCAAAAACGAATGGATGGATTGATAGGCAATTCGCCTATTCATAGTTTTGGGAAAGTTAAGAATCTCCTTCCAACAACTTTGACTGGTCAGAAAACGAGCCATTCAACAGGAAAATGCCCCAATGAATGTGAAGAAGAGCCTGCCCTTTATCATCGAAATGTTAGTAACAGGGAGTTGACATTTTCACTCTCCCCATCCAAATTGCTTCAATTGGGTGTCCTGGTGGTCCCTCCCCTTCCCTGCATTTATTTATTGAACCCTGCTAATTTGCATGCCACGCAAACTAAAAATTGGGTCCTCCATTAGCTCAGTCAGTAAAGACACAGCTACAAATTAAGACCATGCTGGAGGTGGCTGGGTTCCCAGTCCGGTCTAGGAATTTTTTCGACTTCCCTGGGCATAGAGTATGATTGTACTTGGTACAGGTATCGAATGCTCTCAATTAATAACTATGGAAGTGCATCTAGAACACTAAGTTGAGAGCACGCAAAAGTTAATATGCAATAAGCAATAAGCTTGAAATGCGAGGAAGAAGAAGAAGCAAACTAAAAATTACTCAAACGTCATATGGAATGGAGGAAAGCGAAATGAAACATTGCGAAACGGAACACAGAATCAAAACAAAACAGCAAATAAGGCTACCACAAACGTGCATTTTTTATGCTGATAACGAACTTAAATTAAAAACTCCCCAAATACACGCCAGAACGAATCTGATAAGCAAAAATCCGCGAAAGTCACGAAAATTGTGAAAATCGCCAAAATCATGAAATCTGTGTTGTCGTAACAACACTGCCATTGTTTACACAAGCAAATTTGTCCATTTTAAATATTAAGAATTTCGCGCCCAAAAAAGACTCGCGCCAAAAATAAACCCTCAAAAAATATTTCACTCATTCTAGACAAAAAAAAAATTAAATTCTTTCAAAGTTCAATGACCACTCTATGATGTCAATATGCTGATCTTTTGTAAAATTCAGCACTTTGTTTAATTCGAAATTTTGAATTTTTGGTGGGTGGAGCGAATTAAGATCTGAGAAATTACTTTTAGCCTACTTTGGTGCAAAATGGGCGCCATGAATCCCCGAAAATCATTATTTTCCAGAACCAACCACAGAGTTCAAGCATGACTCAAACTACTGTAAACAGCCGATATTTCAAGTTCTGAATCTGCGCATTTGATGACACCACATTGCCACAGTCGCAGAAAAGAAATCCAACGTAGATAAGTCCCGCTGCAAAATATTTAATCACCCGTAGAAGGCTAATAACTTTTACAGCACCCCACACTTATCTCATCCTCAAATTTCGGCACTATCTCGCATTCATGAAGCAAGATTCCATAAAAACTGCATGTTTGCTCAACAAATTATCACAGCCTCCACAGCCTGCTTAAAGCTGCCGGAATATTAAAATTTCCACATCAGTATTTCGAAAGATTTCAACCGACCAACAACCATGGTCACCAAAGTCCTCACGTTTCTGGCGGTGGCTACCGTCGTCACCCTGCAGCTGGTAGCAGCACAATTGGCCAGCAGCTGCATCGCATCGTCCTGCAAGACCTACCAGGACATCAACACCCTGTGGTGCCACTCGGATCCGACCTACTTCTGCCAGTGCCGAACCGATGCCAGCGGAAAGTGGGTAGAGCAAGTGATGCCCTGCTCGCGCAACGGAACTCTCTTCAGCTTCCGTCGGCAAACGTGCGTCCACGAGGACCAGTGGGACCGGGACGAGTGCTCGGAGAAGGACAACACTCCGGTGATGAAGGAAGAACTGGAAATCGCCTCCTGTAGCAATCCATGTACGACGTATGAGGAAATTTCGCGACTATGGTGCCATCCGGAGGACCGGAAGCTGTTCTGCCAGTGCAGGCCAACGGAGGTGCAACTCGTTTTCCGGCCAGTTCGGATGCCCTGTGCCAGTGGGACCAGTTTCAGCTTCCAACGGCAGACGTGCATGCACGATGCAGTGTGGACGAATAGTTGTTCGGTTTGATTTGTGGGAGTGAATTTTGATGTAGTTTTGGGGTGTGGTTTATTATGTTGGTGAGTTTAATAAAGAGCGAGTGGATTCTATCCCCATGATGGATAGAATCTTCTTTCTTTGTAATTTATTATTTTTTTCAGCCGTAGTTGACGTGCAGTTCAGAATTGGGTGAGAATTATTGTTCTATAGTGGCCTTTCCATTTATATGGTTACCAGCATGATAGTAGTTAAGTTAGGAGATTTCTTTTCCAATCGCATCACAGTTGCGTTGTAACAAGTATGCTTTTCCATTTATTTATTTAGTTATTTATTTGTACAGAATTCCTAATCATACAATTTTCCGCATTTAATTATATTGCATGAACTTTCGTTTTTTTTTACAATTAAATTCATAAATGTATTCACCGCCAAGGAACGTTCATCCACATATGTAGAGTTATGTCTTGTTCAGACTACAGAAGTATAACATGTTATAGCGCTATCTTGATGGTGGTTTCTGTGTTGCAATTATTTGACAACCGTTTTAACATGTTGTAACTCTGTACTCTGAACGTACTATTACACTTGTCATACAAAAACCAACGAGTTCCCAATACGTTCAGCTAATTCATTCCATTTGACCCGAATACGCTACCTGTTCGTTAAAGTCCGGAGTTCGAATCCGAACCGTTCGCTCTTATAAAAGAGTAATCGAAAATAGATTTGACCAAGATAGTATATTGAAATTGCATGATAAGAAAAGAGATGTAGCATTGAATGGTTTCAAAGAGAAAAGAACCGTGGAAGAGGCGGGATAGCAAGTAGTTAGTCCTTAAGTGTACTTAGTGTCGCGGTGTGTTTTTCGTGGTATGTGAAGTTAAAAATGTGAGGAGTCTATAAGACTGCATTCAATATTACATTTCTCGTTCCTTTCCGTTAGCCTGTAGAGTTTAAACTTTAGGTTAAAAAGTAACGTGCGGTCAAACTTATTGTGTGTGTAAGGTTCGTAGAAAGGTAAGGTGAATAACGTCTTTTGTGTGGAGATGTGACTGAAAAGTGTCGACGGCTTTTTGTGCAGGATCGTTTGGTGCAGATTGGAGTTTGCACCGCATCGCTTCTAGCGATAGATGGCTTTGCTCGGCACACCGCAACCAAGGAATTGAATCGCACTCTCTAGACCCCACTCTTCAACGTCAAGGTTCTCGGTTCAGGGGAGACACCGTTTAACTGATCACTGGCAGAGCGTTGGCCAAATCCACCAATGTCAATCACTTGAACCCACGTGCAATGTTCATCTTCGACGATCCCCGCGTTGAAATCTGCGCCACCGGCGATCGGCGGTAGTTCAGTACCAACTCGATGGTTCGATTGGAAATTTCCGCACCATACCAGTCCGGGGTGCAATGTGCAACACCACCACCGTTGAATAGGGTGCTACTTTGCCGACCTCACTCCGACAAAGGGATGCTTCTGTGCCGATGTGGATGAAGCAGCGACGACAATGATGGTACTGTGAGTAAATGAAACGCATGCGAATCTCCACACACACAAACACACGAGCTCGAAGAACATTAACAAGTTAGGCTAGCAATCGCTAGAACTAGGTCAAGAAACCGCACACACGATTAGCGAGAGCTAGCAAACAAACATACAAACAAACGGAAAAGGAACAAGTACCACGCATAAACCTAGGTTAGGAACACGATTAAATCATTTAATTCAATTCAATTCAAAAATTTCCTAAAGTCAAAGCTTTCCCCGTAATGTTAATTTTGGTTGGCTAGATTCTTCACATTTTGGTGTCGTTCTATTTTGCGTTATTTTTTTTAGTATTTTTTTGTAGTAGCTGAATTTACTTCAGGTTGGGCTGCCTGGGAAAACAGTCACCGCACTCACGTGTCAGGATCGGTGGAGGAAATATGAAAGGGAAAGTTCCTCAAGTGATGATAAATGTGAGTGGGGTTATTGTGTTTCGTTAGAACGACGGTTAGCCACAGAGAACAGACGTTGAGGCTCGAACTAAATTTCTGTAAAAACTTGTGTAAAGATTCCTATTCGACTTAAGCGCCACCAACGCCGACTTCCCCACTTAAAAATCCTCTTTGACAACATTATGGCACTGACGTTGCAAAACTTACACTAGACTCTAATGGTGGTAAGCTCCAACCGGTATTATCCTCGGATTAAATCCCGATCAAGAATGTCCGGCTGGTTTGATGTCGACATCAGAGTTAATCAACATAATTCTGAGCAAACATTTTTCAGATCATACAAACAGGGACGGTCTTAAAAGTTAATCCGAGTTGGAGCTTACCGCCATAAATGTCGGTTGCACAGAGTGGTAAGTTTCAATCGAAAATTTATCGCCAAATTGATTGAAAGTGGAAGCTTTATAGAGGAAATCAGGAGATGCTAGCGCCACGTAACGGCGTCGTTCCCACTTATATTTACACAAGTTTCTGGTGGAAGTTGGACGTCTGTTCTCTGTGGTTAGCATCAACTTTCGCTTAGGACCGTTTGAAGCGGCCTCTGTTTGTGAGGATCTCAGCAGACTGAAATCCCCCTCATGGGATTTCAGTCTACTGAATCGCTCTCAAACTAAATTTTGGTCTCTTCCATTCAAAAACCCGCCCTGAGGTTGGGTTTCTTGCCGGGCAAATCAAACCTTGACGAGTGGTCCTCTTCGGAGGTGGCGCTTAAGCCACTCGTTTTAGAGACAGGAAGCGTATTCAGTGGTCGAGATCTCGCAGGATGCGAGTCGTGCGTTACAGCGTAAAAGCGAAAACGTCAAGAAGACTTACAACTGTCTCATTTCCTCTTACGACCACTATGAGACAGGCAAATTCGATAGGCTAGTTCATCTTATCAAAGATTCCTTCCTCGGAAGAAAGGTTTGTGTATTTTCCGAGGGGGACGACTCTATCTACGATGCAGAAAAGATTGTGTATAGCTGTGGCTAGCTGCGCGCACGCTGAATAGATAGAAAGAAGATTGATCACGATTCTGAAGATTTCCTGCAAAAAGATGATGCGCGGTGCAAGTAGATGCGAGAAATGAAAGAAGATTTTTCGAAGATTGATTCGCTACTGTGAGATTTGTTGAGCATCTAGACTTGAGATTTAGATGTGTCGCCCCCCTCGGTATTTTCTCATTATTCTATGCTTCCACCTTCGCTCAAGCGCAGCGCTTCTGTTTGTGTCGCTTGGATTCTGGCAAAGTTACCAGTCTTCTTGATATGATGTGTTCGATAAAATCGAAGACATCGTATGAACATTAATTACAATTCCAACAGTTACGCTGGATTGTGCAAAGAGGATTGCACTATGAGAAAATGCGTAAAGGCCCAAGCGCAATATTGAGATTTTCACGTCCGTTTGTATTGGTGCGATAAGTGAGAGCGTGTTAGTGAAAATCTAAGGAAAATACATAACAAATCGCTGTCAAACTCATTTTGATAGATCTTATTTCATACATATTTTAGATTAGTCTGAGGAAAATAATAAACAACTTTATACGGTGATGCGCCCACTCTATGGACGAAAGCGGAACAGAAGCGGAAAGTTTGACAGTTGTCACAAATGACATCAAGATGTCTAACCGAAGTCGATTTGGTTCTAACTAGTTTTACGCTTACTCAGATCGGGCATTTCCACTGCCGCTGCCGTTCCACTTCCGCTGTCATTGTGCTTGGGCCTTAAGCCTCTTTATTGAGGATCCTTAACCTTTTAGCGGCAGATGGCAACATTGTGTCTGTCCAGTCTTCTCGGCATGTTTTCTTCGGTAAAAGACTAGTAGCTCTCAGCTTAACCGCATTCTTGCCATCTACCGCTGAAATGTCAAAACTCCGAACGAAGGTTTCTTATCTTTCTCATGCACTTCTTTCTGAAAGCGCCATGTCGACTGTGGTACTAGTGTAATACCGATATATTAAAAACTGCGTACCGTGTCATGAAAAGTGAATTTATTTAACAGCGAGTGGATCCTACCCCATTAATGAGTAGAATCTATTTTTATCTTTTTTTTTTGTTTTTCTCACCGGGGTCGGAATTCGTTTTCTGATCTTTTTTCTCAATAGTTTAGGAGTTTTCTGCCTAAAGACTGGCTTTCTTCCAGGAGAACTGATGTGTTGAAGTGATGAAATCGATGCGAATTGTTGTCCTAGGATGAGGGTTTCCACGATTGTCTGTGAGCAGGTGCTAATCGTCGCGAAAATGGCTGCCAACATGATTAAATCTACGATTTAATGTCAAAAGAATGCAAAACATCAACATTATTTTATATCCACTCACAGCTAATGCACTTCATTGTGTCCAACCAACTTGTGAATATTAAGAATTGCAGTCTGTTCGAGTAGTTAGCAGATAAGGGTGGTAAATAGGGTGGTTCAAAATATCGACCAAGCACAATCGATTCTAAAACAGATTCTGATCATTCTCTCAAAATTTGAGATCATTTGGATGCGAAATCATACTGCAATGGCACTTTAAAGTTTATATGACGATTATGGGAAAAGTAAACTTTTAGTTCTCAAAGTTCTAGTCATTCACTGTAGTGATCTACGGAAAAGTTTGCTATCTGCTCTTATTGGAAGGTTTATCTGCTACAACTTTGGTCAAGACTATTTTTTGATCAAACTTCATGGTAAATAGTTTTCTCCAGTGTTGGGAAAATATCAAAAATCAAATCTCACCAACGCCCAAGATCACAAAAATCAACAAGCAAACTACTGCTGTTGATTTTGCAAGCTGTGATTTTGCAGCTCGGAATATCAAGCTAACAAAAATCACCAACTGCAAATCTCACCAAAATGTGGTGAGATTGAGTTTAATGATTTTTACTTTACACTCGAATGCAACCGAAACTTCCATAACGGCTTGCAGCAGTCTCTTCGCGTCTACCATCGGTGAAGAGTAAAAAGAGATAGCAAACTTTGCTTTCTATTTCTAAGAAAACAATGTGCAATAGAATCATTTTTGTGTCGAGTGAACTCTCAGCTTGATGTTTGCACGTTTGATGTTTGATGTTGTGAATAGTCTCGCAATATCAAAGGAGCTTGTAAAAT